GTATCAGTTTTAATCATCCTCCATTGTTCTCTTGTATTCAATATAACACACCACAATAGCATATCCCTCTTGTGGCATACCAAAATAATTATAACGTTCGATTTTGTATGAATTTCACAAATTGTTCATATGAAGATTAATTACTGTTAGGAGTAAATTGTGTCTCAATCTGATGACGCAACTTTGGAGCTCTTCTATGCAAAGTTCGCATGTGTTTTGTTCGACGAAACCGCTAACAATGAAGCGAGGTTAAAATTGGAATCATGCCTGTGCTGCGGCCCGATATGTGGCCCTTTCAGTGCCCAATTTCGATTGTTGCATCCAGTCATAAAGTTGATTGATGGATGACTCTTGCCAGTTTCCTATTAAAACACTGTTGATCTACTTGGCTTTTGACGCTGACCTTGATATTTTTTTTGGGTCATCCGATATTGGGATATGAATTATGAATGATGGGGGCAGCAGTAAATGCCGCAGTTTTCCTAGCGTTCGGTCCGAGACAGGCCATCAACGAACCTTCCGTTTTGAGAAATAGAATTTTGAGGACATGCAGCACGGACTTATTCTTTAATAGTTCCTTAAGACATAACCCTAATAAAATATTCAAAGATTATGTTCCAATCAAACAAGAATACCAGCAAATGACCACTTAAATATTTAGTTTAAGTGTAAATGGTAATGAAGACATGTTAATAAAGTATTAGAAAATAGCAAAGACCTTATATATGTAAAGTATTGGTCGTATTTTGACAAATTCTTTAGGATATTATCTGAGCCTCTTTACATTCATTGTTCACTAAGATCTTCTAACTGTGGCAATAAAGAGTTCCACTTTATATTCAGCAATGTTGGGATTTGGCAAAAAAGAAGTAGGAAGTTATTATAACTCGTCTTGTCTTGCAACAAGGAAAAAAGGAAATCTTTGGATCCAGCGCTTTAGCGGGCGAGGACATGGTCTATATTGAGTTAAGAAAGGTACTTTGGCGATCTCGTCTGAATAGTTCCAAATACTTTTACTTTCGCTAAAATTCAAGACACTTTCTTGACAAATTCGTTTTAAGGCTTCCGGACATGTAAAGACATCCCCGAATAGCATAGTAGGGTCGATCCAATTATGTCACCTCTGGGTAACATGTTAAATTTTTTAATATGATTAAATGGTTTTGAACTGAAAAATTAATGTAATTTAATATCATTGTAATTTCGTAGTAAAATATTTTTGATATCTCGATATATTTTTAGCTTGTGTGTTTGTAAAATCCGGAATAAATTCTGTACGAAATTTAGGAATCAAATCTGAAATTTTGTATCGTTAAAAATTGTTTGCTTTATTCAAATTGCGAAAAGGGTTGAAAATATTGATCTGGAATAACTTGACAATGTCCTAAACGTACTATGAGAACAACAGGCCTAATAGTTTGTAGACATTCTAAAATTTTTGACCAGAACCTCCCTTTGTCATGGCTATGCAAAATTTTAGTACGTTGCTAGTGACCCTCGTTTCCTAAGCATCTGACATTACAAAAATTTTGTTTCGCTTTTACGTCAAGTTTTTTTTTAAAAACGTCCCTTCAAAGCGTTTGAAAGTTTTTTTTTAATTCGAAAATTGCTGTGGGTGTGTGTTGATGTACCACTGGATGCAGAATAGTACTTTAAAAGAGAAAAACCAAATACTGAACCGAGTTGTGGACAAGCCGATAAGTAGTAAGTCCCGTTTTCAAATTCCGTTCACAGTTCGACTGAATTATTCAAAAGTTTTACCGCAAATCGATGGATATGCGGTTCTCTTTTATTAAGTTAGCAGGTATTTAGCTTACTAAACCCGACACGTTTTGATTAATCCATACAATTGGGAACATTTTGTAGGGTAATAATAGTGGTGGGAACAAGAGTTCCATGTAGGGCTGTATACAGTAATTGAAATTGTGGTGTTTGTTCGCCTGGGCACTGTTTCGCAATTATCGATAAGTTGAAATTTCAACGAAATGTGACCCGATCACCGTGAATTCGCCCCGCTTAAAATATTAAATTATATTTTTCAGGGCGTGTTTAATAATTTTGTTTGCATACGAAGCGGGCGCACGAGTAGTGAATTGAAAAGCCGCCTTTCATGCTTTAATAAAATGTAAAACTTTAAAAATATAGATGCGACAAAAAAAGGTTACCTGCACTCCTTGTGCGAGAATTATTGCCACGATTCGGTTGTATATTTAGGACGGAAGAGTGCAGATATCAGCAGTGTAACAGGACACTTGCAGGACAATGTACAAGTTTAAGGATCAGCGTCAACAGCAGCGATGTTAAATGTGTTTGCTTTCCACACCAGATGTCATAAATACAAATGTCGAGTTCGGTTCAGTGAAGCAAAAATGACTATTTGTCTCTGAATTTGACCATTGTGGGAGATTAGAGTGTCTCTATCGCATAATCCGGATTTATAACACTGTCAAATGATACCGAATTTTATCTTTATATACGTTTTGCATTTTTACATTATATTTTGCTAGTTGAGAAGTTTATAGCCGTGTTTGGACGCCGACAAAAGCGTTGTATAAAATTGGAGATATTTTTTCTGGAATTTCGTTTCCAATCGTATCTGCATATTTTAGCTCCAGGATGTGATTTTATTAATACGTGCGTGGAAAAAATTTCCTAACAAAATTGGTGGATGCGCCGGGCAAAAGAGATCCACGTTTATTGTATTTTAAACGCTTTCAAAACTGAATTCTTGCGTTAAGAAAGTTAAATCGAAAGAAAATACCAGATGTTCTAGAGTGTTTTTTCAAGCGACAAAAAGTTATATATATTTTTTTTCATTTGGACAAACTGGTACACATGTTGGCTTTTTTTAATTAGACTTTAAAATTATATTTTTTATCGACCTGTTCGAAACACAAACCATACGGTGTGTGGTGGAGACCTCATCGCGTATTTTTTTCAAAAATCTTGTAAGGTCTTGTGAACGTTGTCTACGGAAACACGAATATGGTTACCCTTGTAGCAGTACAAGCGCCATTTTGTGTGCTATTAAAAATGTTATTAAACTTAGTTTTTATGGCTCTGATATTTTATATAAACAGCAAGATATTACCGTGTGACTAAGTAGCGCGTATTTTAGAGCAAAATATTGTGGAATTTTACGGTGTTATTTTGTTTAAGTACATATCAACATATTATGTAGGGTTGAATAGCATTTAAATAGGCCTGTGAACACAGCTTTTTAGAAACTTGTGAAAACTCTTCTAAACAAAAAATACCCATAATAAAATTACAATCGGCAGAGATAACGTGTTGGAATTAGTTTACACCTAACACAATTATTGTGCGGAAAACAGCAACTTCTAGGAACCGAGTTATCTAAATGATTGTGGCGTCTTGACTGCAACTTATATTAATTTGAATATTAATTACTGCTATCGATTGGGTTCCTGAAGTTTGGAGATGTTTTGCAGTGTTATTAGAAGGGCTGAAATCCGGCAAAGTTCACCAATAATTAATTGTAAACCGAACTGGCTGCACATACCGGCAAATTGAACCGCCATAATTAACATTAGTTTTCCATTAGTGCTTGAGAACCGTCGGTGTGAAATCATTGCAGGTGCTTGGTTAAATGTGCAAAATATAGAAAAACTTGAACGTTTAGCGCATTCCATCATTCATCAACATGCAGTTCAGTAGGAGGCGACTCTAGGAGATTGATGGAAAGTAAATTTTGACGATTTTCTGGAGTCTGCTTTCCGACTGGACTTATAATAGTTGATTTTTTTTGTGGGCTGACGTTTGTTGTATCCGTGTCATGAAATCCAGAATCTACACACAACAATCTTTGTAACAAGGAAGAATTTATAACGAAAATAGATATGACTCTGAAAAGTTTTAAATATACCACAGTGTATAAATTAGTTCCTTTGTTACATATTGTTCATGCGTTGTAAATATGGTTCCAAAGTTAATTAAAAGTAACTTAAATCCTAAACTAAAGTTAATGTATTTTTTATACGTGCTTACATTTTTCATTAGGTGACATGAGTTGTATTTTTTACAGCTGCGTTTTTTTCATTTAGTCATTAAGAGTGACCTTGTGCTTTACTAATACTTCTTGTCGCAGCACTCAATACTTTGTTTGACATTTAACATTTCAGTCGGGTCAGAAGCCTTGTTTTGTTGTTAATATGAAAATCTGTTTTACATGCAACTATAGCACATAACATTCTTAAAAAAGTCTGTACGGCCGTTGAGTAATGGGTCCATTACGTGTTTGATTTATATTCTTTAATGAAATTCGTACCAACAAAGTGAGGGTCTTAGGCAAAGTTAGTGCAACTCTCGCAAGTTAGCAAATTACTCATTGTTTATCCCTGTAGATATCAGTAATCCAGGTCATACTGTAAATATTGAAACTCGTGAGAAATGAGTACTAACAGTAGAGTGTAATCTTAATTAAAATGGTGTCAGTTTTTAAATAAAATTTTTCTGTGATCCAGTTTTAGAAATTCCGTTGTGTTGCTAGTTTTTATTTTAGTCTGAGTGACATGAAGTTATTTAATATTGAAAATATTAATTATTAAAAAAAAAAAAGGAAAATGGTGCTCGATATTTTAAAAATTCATGCCTTAAAATTGTAAAATATGCAACAAGTTATGATGCAAGTTGGTGCTTTATTCTTGGCCATTATAGCTATTACAGTATTTAATGGACCTGTAAGAAACGTGCTTACACTGCAGTCCAAAACGCACTACATTTACACACTGTAAATTTTTTGTGCGCTCAATTTAAGTTGCAAACGTCAGTTTATAAAAAATCAGCTCTAGTTATGTGTAAAGTGTAGAGAAAGAGCTCGTCGAACGTCGTATCCGTCTGGTCCAGCCCTTTTCATCATCCATTCAGCATATCCCATCCGCTTAGTTCCGCAACGCGCGATCTTAGACTAGTGGCTTCTATAGAGGTAGAACTGCACGATACTGATAAGAGGGGGTTTGAAGTGAGTGATTCTCTTTCAGCACAAATTGCGACGGGTCTGCCGTCTTCGGCGTCGACAGCGTCACCAGATTGTTCACCCCCAGGTACGTTTCTGGCTTGGTGTCGTGCTGTAATTACCAAAAAATCATGAAAACTGAATGAACACAACGACAAGTCTGTAGTTGATCTCTTTGACGCGTAGTGCCCCACGTAGCTATCTCTTATCTCTCTTTCTGTGTTACTCTACTACTCTAGTAATGTTATCTTATGTTGTCTTATAGGGGCTTTGGATTTATCACCTTCACCGACCCGGCTAGCGTAGATAAGGTTTTAGCCCAAGGCACTCACGAACTAGATGGCAAAAAGGTAGGGTAGCTTTTATTTACCTAATTTATCTGTAGTATCTACTTAAGTGTCCTTAGAGGACGTCATCCATACGACTCTCGCTACTTGTTCATATATCTATTAGCTTGGCATAAACTAATTTTTATTTCGACTTTTTTCGAGAAAGAGATAGGTGTGTGTGGGCAAATTTATTTGAAAAGTAAAAGGCGTTCGGTATCCTTGTGCATGCAGGTTTGGTTTATGCCACGATTTATCCTTCCTCAACATTATCGCTTTGAAATGAACTCTATGCTTTCATATGAGTTTATTTTTCTTATGCATGTTTCACACTCACCAACATTTACCGCATGCTGATACTCTATTGTGTTCTTTTTAGCAACTGGTTTATTGTAATTTGATTGTTAACTAAAACAGGATTCAGTAGTTGGATAAACGTGGATTATTTAAATATTCATTGTATAGGGTGTCTTTCCTAACATTTTGATCAAGTTTGTTGTAAATATTTGATGATTAAGTGTTCTACTAACAATTTTGGTGAACATTTTCAAGCTCTACTTCGCAAAATTACTGCAAATTTTATATTAATGGAAAGAAATTAACGATGAGGCTGTTAAACAATAACCACTTAGAACAAACTGTGGTGAAATTTGCATTAACGTATTATTTTTTTTTTTGTAATCAAGTTTTGAAAGTTTGAAAGCACGTTATTTATTTATAATTTGTTTAAGGTAATCGTAAGTTTGTGAATTTGTATGAAATAATTGATTTTAATTTTCTCGGGCTGCTAGTATTACGAAAGTTAATAAATAAAAGGAGTGGTGTATATTGTGTTTAAATCGGAAACGAACTGAACAAAGTGAATTACAACCAGTGGTGTAATACATGTGTTGAAACTTGATAAACAGCCACTTTCGTTATTTTCACTATGTAACACTTAAGCCTACTGACTATAATGAGAAAAGCGACTTCGTAGTTTCCTTAATAGGTTTATTTTAATTAACGGTGTTGGAAAGCGCCTCCAGTTCACTTTCATATCAGGAGGTATTGCGTTTTTTCAATGAACGGACTAAGTATTATTGTTTAAATTGAAACTACGTTTACATTTTTGAATTATCTCCTTATAATTGGAAATGAATTTTTTTTTAAAGAGTTGACTCAGAGATACTAAATCAGGAGCTAATAATATTGTAAGAATTGTGTCTAGTCGGGTATATGTTTCAGTGTACAAAATTCACCTATTTCACTTTAAAATATTCTTTGAAAGGAATCCAGCTTGTATTTTAAATTTACTTATATAAATTTTGTTGAATTTCTTTGAACCCAGTAATGTTATAGGTAGTATAGTATGTATAGTGCCGGGTGATTTTTAAAATTTCTGCTCTGGTTACCCATGACGCTTAAGTCAGCAGTTAAATTTTTAGTTTCTAGTAGTAGTCTTCAAAACATACGTGGTGATTAATCGTTTGTTTATCAAGTTGTATAATTGCTATTAAAAATTAATTGTTAGTATCTTTATGAGAAGAAATTAGAGACTGTATACAATCGACACGCATTGCTCCACATAAACTCGAACTAATAACTTTGTAGCTAATCAATCCATCATTGGAACGAAGCGCAAAATACACAGACAACTTGGATGAACAAACATTCGTAATCACTCTATACGAGGAAACTACAGAATGGAATTATTAATTTGTTAACTCTTGATAAAATCGCACAAAATTGCTGTTTCATTTTCTCAACGCAAAGTTTGCCAAAAATTGTGATCAGTGTGAATACTTGACTCATTGAGTGCTATTTAAACACGACGCTGTGGTTTTTAAGTTCACACGAGAAAAATTTTAACATAAAAAACCGAGGTTAAAAGTACACATATTAATTGGGAGTTAGTTTTGGATTTGCACTCATTTCAACGTCACATTGATAACCACATGTTTTGTAGAACTTGATAACGTTGCGGTGCATACCGATATTTATCTCTGTTGTTTGTGAAATGCAAGTGCTTTAAAAAAGAAAATCTGGAAATGTAGCATTATTTACAGTGTCAGTATGTTATAAAATGAATATTCCCGTTCGACTGAATTTCGCTGTTTGTTTTTAGTTACATGTGACCAGCACAAGCATTTCAAGCTTCTAGTTTTAGTAATGATTGTTCAGTCGTTGAAATAGGCATCGAATGAAATGAATATTTGTGGACAAACAAGTCAGCATTTTGTTTAACGTAACGATCGGTGAAGTATTTTGAAATAAAAGTAACACAGCAAATACTGGTTTATTCCATTTACAAGATGCAATTTTGCTGTGTGGCGTACGCATATTTAGATGAATGGCGAATTTCCGTCAGTCTGTCTGTTTTCTGTCTGTCTGTTGACTTGACTATTTTAGTGGATCTACGAAACCAATTATTCATTCACTTGAAAAAAAAAAGGATGATCTCTCAACATATTGTTGAACAAATCTAGAAATTTAGAGTGTGATATGCTCCCGTACCGGTGGTTTAACGAGTGTCAGAATTCTTATGTTTAGTCATATGTAAAATAAAATTTAAGCCTTAAACCACCGACGTGGAATGATTCTGTGTGCATGCACAGATTATTTTAATTTTGGTTTGATTTGAATCTTGTTTACCATTTCAGGTATTATCTGTTCACGAAACATAAATGACAAGCAATGTAGAATTTTCAAAAATCGGAGTGTACTTAGGGAGTTGTTTATGATTAGAGAAATATGTTTTTCGCACGGAATGTACCAGACCGCGCCTATCATTATTATAAAATTATAGGTTATGTCAACTGATCTCCTTAGTTTTTGTTCAATGACTATTTCAACATAAACAAGATAATAATGAGGAAACATTTGTTCTATAAGATTAAAAGGAGGGCCAAGGATTTATCCAAAATTAGAGACATAATTAAAACCTTCTTCTAACTTATCATCAGATGGTTCCATTCATGATTCCATTAATTGTTAAATAATCGCAAACGAGTATAAAAGTGGTTGTCTACGCTCGTGTGGCTGATAAAAAAACTTGCGATCTTAAATACCATAAATATTCTAGCTGCTAGTCTGCATATTTCATATTTAAGAAGATTAGGAGCGAATTAATTTGGCTCAGACAAAAAACCAAAAAATTCGTTTGCATTCCATTGTTGTTTTAACAACCTTATTTGATTCTTATGTCGTTTATTTATGTTTAGTAAATGGATAGTAGGTAGTGTAGTTTTCAACTTGTAACAACTTCATCTTCAAAAGACATTTAGTATGTTGCATGCTCCTCTGCCCGAAATCATAAAGATTTTTTTGTAGTTAACGACGAAGCTTTTTTTATTTAGCGAATCTGTGAAACTTAAATGGAAATAAAAAAAATTAAAATAAGTGAGTGAAAAATTGGGAAGTTGTATCACAGAGTGGCATAAATATATTAAAACTCAAAAAGTCGAATTGGTATTGAAACGGATATTTGCGGACAAACAAATCAGCATTTGGTTAAATGTAACAATCGCAAAAGTCCTTTGAAACAAAAGCAATAAAAGCAAACAGTGTTTCGTTCAATCCACAAGATTCACTGTACGCAATTTCCCATTTTTTGTGTATTTCGGTTTGTTATATTGTCTGTTCATCTTCACCGTCTATCCATATTTCTAAATCGAATTTCGCTTGTACGTTCCGAATGTGAGTCGTCTTTTTTTTTCGTTTTGCAACTCGTATTTCTCGCGGGTCTCAAAGTCGATGGTGAGTGTCCTATTAAGCTCTTGCTTAGGATTTACGCCCGGGAAGCTAAATACATCCCGACTGCGAGTTAATGAAGCGGGAAAATCATAAAGTAGAACGTTTCCATTTCACGATTGCAGTAAAGTTTTTGAGAAGCTGTCTTCTCCGACAGCAGACAGTGACAGGCGCGGTTACTAATTGCTCTTGAACCGCACGATAACCTGCCATCCAAGTGAAATTGTTCGACCAACACCCCTCCGGCCATCGAAACTCAGCATTTTCTTCGGGAAAATCGGATCAGGCCGTTTCGGAAAAGTTGTGTATGCTTTTAATAATTTATTGTGGAAATCTCTCCGGAGAGATCGCTTATCCCGGGCCTCCCCCTCCGCCGCCGCTCCGTCCTCCCAAATGGCACGGAAAATTACATCTGCAGGCTGAAAACAAGAATTAATTATAATCTGAAAGTCTGAAATCCGTTAAGCAGAGTGTGGAATATTAATAACGAATTAACAGAGAGAAGCGACGAGGAGAAGTGGGTGGGTAGTGAATGAAATTACAATTTGCGCACAGAGAAAAGCTTGAACGTTTCATCACGTGATGCATTTCGAAGGAGTTTTATTTAACTTGATAGTTTAAAGCTTTTGAAGTTGTACAACGTGCGCGACAGCTGCCGGAGTCGTGAGGAATTAGTGCTTGCTACGGGTTTTAGCCGAATTTTAGGACCGTCGTCTTTCAGCCCTAACTACTCTACGATTACAAATCGAGCAAATAGACCATCCGATGCATTCATTTATCTTTTGCTACAGGTGTTGTGCGGCGTAATTCCTACACGCCGCCACTAAAACTTTGCGCTGCTGGAAAAAAGACGATTTTCTTACTAGTTTCCCAGGAAATGGAAGCACTTGATCCGATTTAATAATGTTCCACAGCGCTAAGCCGACTAAATTGATTGTCCTCTTGTATCAGCTGTTTATTCTTTTAATTCCCTCTTATCTCATTTATCTCATTATTTTTTATTGTTTGACTTGCTTCTGCCCGCGGATGCGCTCACGAAAATTTTGGTTTCTTACCATACGTGTTTTCTCATAGTTGTAAGTACTTAGTTCTAATTTTTAGAAGGGAAATAGACAATATCTTAAAAATTATGTAATACAAAGAGAATGACTAAAGGGGGCTATGACAGTCGAGAGAGAAAGAAATATGCAAGGATAGGGGTCAATGGCACTCTGTCGTCACGGCCTACCGCGTAGGGAAATCGGTGTTATGATAAATATGTAATACTATACAGGATGAGTCACTAGAAGCGCCTG